ACCCCTGTCTCATGCTTAGCGTCTGAGTGAAACAACGAAAAGTGTAAACTCTGCTATAAGTGTTTCCGCAAGTTAAGGTTTAAGCTGACCTTTTAGCTTCCAATAATATTTCCTCGCAGTTATACACACACACACACACACACACACACACACACACACACACACACACACACACACACACACACACACACACACACACACACACACATCGACATCATCAAATCTATGGTTTGAATGATTAGCTAAAAACAAGCATACAATATAATAACTTTTATAATCCATAGCCAAAATAAATAGTTTAAATACCCTACAAAAAAGATAACCCTTTATGAAGTCGTCAAAAAACAAAAGTTACGGCAGTTTTTATATGCACAAATCCCTTTCATAAAGAAATAAAATTAAAAAAAAATAAATCTCCGTAGACACATAAGCTAGACGAGGCTAAAACATCTTCCGTTTCAAATTTAGACACCCCCACCTTACCCTGACTTGACATCTATGAAAGTAACTCTATACTGATACTTATTATTAACACCCAACACACGCCTACCCAATTTAAACAATTCGCCCTAGCTGTTACCATGGAAATTTTGATTTCAATTATTAAAACACGTAAATTTCAGAAATACTTTATTCCAAAAAAAAAAAAAATTCGCTTGAAGATGGAACAGAGCTTTCTTTAACTCAATTTAATTCAAATAATTATATTGAAGTTTTCGGCTCTTGTTTTGAAACATGAGACCTCTTATGTCGCGAGTTGGAATCATATTTTTAAATAAATAATTATATATATATATACCCTAATCATTACCAATAACTTGGGATTTCACTCCTACTTGGTAAAACAATGTTCTTCATGAATTGTCATGCCGTTTGGTAAATCCCAATACCAATTCTTATACTGATCACACAAAAACCACCCTCTCTCGTAGGTTAACATGCGTATATCCATCATCAGATAAACAACAACTAATATACAACAGTTAAAATAACACAACTATTAGAAAGATTGGAAGATATCTATGGAAAATATTAAAAACATTATTTTTGTAAAAAAGAACCAACCGACTTTAACTACGATATGTTTTACTACAGAAGACGTTATTTTAAAATGACTATAAAACATTTACAAGGTCTATAAAGAAATTATAATAAGTAGAAAATATTTATGAATTCGTTTCCTGTATTTTCAAGATGTGAAACCGTTATATAAATCACATATGTAGCGGGTATATATTTTTTTGTTTGAGAAGTTATTAAGATCCTGGTACATTTGACCCGCTAACAATTTTTGGTGGACTCGTATAAATCCAAAGAAATAATAAGAATTTGAACAAAGAAATGTCAACAAATATATTGTCAGGACATTTTACAAAAGAAAAGATAAGACATGAAAGGAAATTTGAAAAGTTCAAAGCAAATTTAAGTATCTGTAGTTGATTACTCACATTTTGCAGGAGCGAAAAGAATGAACATCACTGAGAAAAAGATGGATTCTTTCAAATCTCGCGCCGCCTGTAATCATCGTCAGGGGCAGTAAATCCAAAATCTCGCCGTATTTAGTGATCATCAGAAGGCGGTAATTCAACACCCTACGTATACCAATAGCTCAGATATGTATATATATTTGCGCGTTTATGTGTATATATGAGAGTATATGAATAAATACCAAAGGAAAACTTATTTTAACGGACGCGTTTCGTCCTCTGAAAGACATTATCAAGGAAATGCGTGTATATGAGTATGGGTGTATATATATATATATATATATATATATATATATATATATATATATATATATATAAACATATATATATATATAGTTTATGCAAAACTAGGTAATCTGTATGGGTTGAACCAAGGAGGATGATATCCAGAGAGCTCAATGTAAATTCAGAGCAAATAAATATGCATAAAAACGGACCACTTTAAGGTTCCATGTAATAAATTATTTCACCACAGCCCTTTTAAAAGAACTGCGGATCATCAGATTTTACTTCCAAAGGTTGAAAGGAAAAATGAAAAGAAATTTACACATTTTTGACGGGCCGTATTAAGCTTATGTAAATTAACGAAGTGATGAAGTGAGGGGGGAGAGAAGACATGAGTGAGTTAGATGTACCATTTCAATTCTTTATCCCTAACCCCACTTGGTGTGGGCCAGGCAACGCTTAACTTAACGTATGTTATCTTTAAATATGGATGGGTAAGGGGTGAAGAAGAAAAACGACATAAAAGGAAGAAGATACAATAAAATAAATGATGATCATGAGAGAAGGTTTCACTCAATTTCTTAGACGCTGTTATTTCGCCTTACTTTAAAGGGTATATTTGGGGGTTAAAGTTTGATATAAATCTAAATGTCTACAAAATCTACGAAGAATTTAATTTGATGATTGTTGGAGTTTTGGGTATTTTCTGTGAAATAGTCGATTGGGAAAAATTCATAGAAAGTCCATTGAAATAATAATTCATTTTACATCTAGTAATCTTTTTTATTATTCCTAAACTTTTTTCTTGTTGATTATTAAGTTGACATCTATTCGTTTGAGTTTTGTTCATAAATTAAACTCATGACTGTTTTTAGACACGTACATAATTATCAAAGGTTATTCCAATTTAAATAATTTTATCATCAATAATGATTATTAAAGGGTAATATATTTCAATTTAAATTAAATTATCAATTTAAAATTTACCTCCGTATATATATATATATATATATATATATATATATATATATACAGATATGAACATCATTTCATTTCCACACTGGGGTTGAAAAGCCAGACGACTACTTTCGTTGTCTGCCAAAATAGTCTATTCCCACATGAGGTAAAAGGATTTGTTTGATTAATAATTATATTGCTCTGTATAAATTAAATAAAATACAACGACTTCGCATTGTGGATCAGATGTAAAATTTTCATATTTCTAGTATTCACTTAGATTATAACAACGGATTGTTGTGGTGTCCTCCCTCTACATAGACTATGTTGGACTCTTCCGCCTACTATAAGTTTAGTAGGCGAGAGAAGGCCTTGAGGGAACAGTCGAATAGTTGATTCATCTGGGGAACTCTCTGCCTTGAGCGGAGTGGAACCCGGGCGAGGCTTTGCCGAAGGGCAAAGTTTCGTCCAGGGAGGTAGACAGACCCTGAACCAGTTTAGGCGGGTTCAAAAGGAATATTTTTGGCCGAGGGCCTCTCAGAACCCATGGTAAACTCGGCCTTGTGCCACATACATCCCTCGCGGACGGTGGGGCTGTTAAATATTAACAGTCTAATAGATTGCTCAACTGTCAAACTCTCTGTCTAGGTGGAGGGAAACCCGGATGAAGCTTTGCCGAAGGGTAAAATTTCGTCCGGGGCGGTAGACAGATCCCGAAACCGCTTATGCGGATTCTAAGGGAATATATTTGGCCGAGCCTATAGGCTCGGAGAAACCTACGTTAAACTCGGCCTTGTACCACATATATTCTTCGTGGTTGGGGACTGTTAAATATAACAGTCGCAAAGATTGATCCTCTGTCAAACTCTCTACCTCGAGTAGAGTGGAACGCGGATGAGGCTCTGTCGAAGGGCAAAGTTACATCCGGGGAGGTAGACAGTCCCTGAACCCGTTTATACTGGTTCAGAGGGTATATTTTTGGCCGTGCCGACGGGCTCGTATAACCCAAGGTAAACTCGGCCTTGTGCCACATACATCCTTCATGGGGGTGGGGGCCGTTAAATATTAACAGTCGAATAGATTGAACGCTTGGTTAACCGACACACACTAGCCGTGTAATGCTCTATTCTTATACTTAATGTTTAATATATATTTGCAACACTTTTTTGTTATTTCTTTAACCATTTACTTGGTCAAAACACACACACACACATATATATATATATATATATATATATATATATATATATATATATATATATATAAATAAATTTGATTTGATTCCTCTTATCCTCAGAGATCTTTAAGGATTTTCCTCGCGCACTATTTTTCGTTCCATCATTTTAACCTGAGGAAGTCAAAGAACTTTAACATTTTCTATAGTCTGCAATTAAAATTACAGTTTCTTGTCTGTAATGATTTATTTAGCGTAGCTTTGATGTGGCACGAGGCCGAAAGAGAGTTACTAAGCATAGATTAGTGGTGGCACAAGGCCGAAAGTTGTGGAGCACCCAGTGAGATTTAAACTCACTACACAGTCATAATTACACCACGTGAAATTTCCCTAGCGAACTTCTAAGCGTAGCTTGGAAACTCAGTACGTATTTATCTAGCAAGGTACATCTGTTTACCATTACACCACGTCATTGTGCTCCAGTGATTTTTTTAAACGTAACTTAGATGTGACACAAGGCCGAAAATTTTGTCCACCCAGCGAGGATCGAACTCATTATTTAGTTATAATTGATTAAGTAAGACAAGCTTGCTGACGATCTCACCACGTCGAAGTGCCTGAATGATTTTCTAAGATTTGCTTACATGTGGCACGAGACCGAAAGTATGACGCTGAGGATCGAACTCAATATTTAACAGAAATTGAGCCACTGAGTGAAGCTTGCTGACCATTGCACCACGTAGAATGTTTCTTGACTATGGATTGCTTAGCGTTCTTGAATAAATAAAAGATTGTTGGTTTAAAAAATAAATTCAGCGAAAAACACAAAAAACGAGTACATTTACGTGATTACTAATTCGGTCACAAAAGTAATTCTGACTTAAACTAGGTAAAATTCAATTCAAGTGCAACTTTTTAATTAATTAACTAAATAATTAGATTTTTTTAGTCTATTTTCTAGCATTTGTTAAAGTACAACTGAAATTAAGAGCCATCAAGTGGGGAATATTGAATAGGCGGCCTTAAACAGGTTAGCGTCTGCCTATTCATTGGCGCTAACAACATGATTAACCCGACAGTATATATACTGTAGCTGACATTGCCTTCTCGTCAGAGAAGACATCCAGTCACTCGAACCGCTTCGTTCTCTTTGGTAGTCGACAAGCAGTAACCCCTACATCACCATGCCTAACTACACTCTCCATTACTTCAATGGCCGCGGACGTGCCGAAATCCTCCGTATGATGATGGCCATCGCTGGCGTCAAATACATGGACAAGAGATATGAATTCTCTGACTGGGACCGCTGCAGGAATGGTAAGGAATTGTCTGTTTGGTATTTGTTAAATATATGCGTTTCTCTAAATTCTAAATGTTTTAATGTTACCATTTTCTGAAAATTATTATAAGTTCTTTAGTAACAGACGATAACTGGGCTGTTGTTAATCGTTTGTATATTAATCCTTCGTCTCATAAGTTTCTTTTTAAATAATAGACGTAAAAATGGGGGGGAGGGGGTATTTATTTTGAAATATGCGCTATCACAGCTTATTCAGAGTTATATACTATTGTTAAAATCTATCTATCTATCTATCTATCTATCTATCTATCTCTATTAATTGATTTAAAATATGGTTTTTCCGCTACACAGTTCTAACCATGTTTCAAAAATGGAAGGTCCAAAGAACACCGGATTATATATCTTACTGTTCTTTCTTTATATATATATATATATATATATATATATATATGTGTGTGTGTGTGTGTGTATATATATATATATATATATATATATCCTCTCTTTGCAGATTTCCCTGTAGATACCTACCGTGTCTGCAAATGGACAATGGTAACATGATGCCTGAGACTATGGCTATTTGCAGGTATTTGGCTCGTGAATATGGTAAGTTCCACATAAAGTAATAAAATTTAATTAATAGCTATTAAGAAAAATGTATTCTATTGGAAAACAGTACATTTTTTAAAATTTTACATAAAAAAGTAACAATCGTGGAGCAAATAACTAAAAAAACAAGATTTTTACACATATTGTAGATCGATACAATTTATTGATCATTGCTCAAATTAAAATTTAAAAAAACAAATTAAAATTGAAAACAAATGAAAAATTAATTTTAAATTGCGTAAACTTTTTAAGTTCAAAATTTCGTATACATATTTGAGAATAGATATCATTTACAACATTTAATTTTTAAATTTGCGCATGCCCGTTGTTTGTTTTGATTTTGTCGACTGCACAGTATAGGAGGGTCAGCTGGGCTCCGTTCCTGAGAAAAAAAAAACAAAAAAACACCGTGTCGCAATTCACTCCGAGGAAATTTCGAAGCGGCATGGTGTACTGCTTAGCATTCAACTCAGAAGATCCAATATGAACAGTTCAGATTGTTTTGACACCTAAACAATCCAAAGATAGTGCAGCGGATTAGGAAAGAGTGAGATGAGTCTAATGGTGATTACAAAGGTGTTTGGAGTGATCACTAGTAATGGCGACGTTATGCCTCCATTCATCTTCACACTGCCTGCCTAAGACTCAACACGGAAACCCACATCAATTGCCTTGACGAGGAAATGCTGCCTTAGGTCAAAAGAGGGTAGCTGCTGGAAGATCCTATTTCATGTAACAAATCTCTTCAGCATACCACACAAGCAGGAGAGTTCAGTCATTTCTGCGGCTTCATCAGCCCTTACATCTTGCTACCTAACTCCCCAGACAGCAGCCCCCTTGATTATTATGCGTGGGCGCAGTTGGACAAGAGAACAAAATTCCTTGTAACACCAAAGAGGAACTGACGTCAAGGATTATGGCATCATTCACCAACTTAAACAAGGAGACCGTCCAAGAGAGTTACAGGAAATTCTGAAGTCGTCTGGAGGCCGCGGTTGAAGCAAATGGCGATTTTATTGAATAAATCTACTCTTTAGTATTTCAAGTTATTTTTGTGTAATTTTGGTAAGTATATCTGTTAAAATGAGATGACTGTGTTATTTTAATTTTTATGTAATTTCGACAACAATTTATCCAACGCACACTGTATATATAGGATTGGGAAAATAATGATTGAATAATGGTTATTTATGATAATAGCATTAAATCATTTCTTTAGGTTTCTACCCCAAGAGTGCCATGGATATGTTCAGGTGTGACTACATCAGCGATTGTATGTATGAAATCATGCACGATTACATGAGGTACTTGCACTGGAAGAACGGACGCTTCAGGGTGAGTCAGTTATTTTGAATATTCTCCATATTTCATATCTACATCTTTAAACATCTTTATTTCATATCTACATCTTTGATTATCCATTGCTATAGTAGCAATGGATAATCAAAGAGGTTATCATAAAATAATCATTAATAGTAAACACATCAGCTAAGACGAGTGTCGGGTGCCTTGTGTAAAGGCCATCCCCTTCCCGACTTCCCTCATTTCACTGAGCATAATCTCAGCAATAGTTTCATTACAGCTTAGGACGTCTCTTGACCTGACAAAACTCTCGACTACCGGTCCAGATAATATCACGATTGCCCACCCTAAGAATATTAGCACCGAGTTTTTCCGAATTTAAGAAAAACTATCTAACCACTGCTTCACAATTCCGAAGATAGTGCCAAGTGTATACCCAGTTTCAAGAATAAGGGTGTGCACTCGCCCCTTCCTTACATTATAAACACATCAGTCTCCTCAGTGTCACCAGCAAGGTCTTCTAATCCATAATCAACAAGATAATTCTTTATCACCTCAATACACCCTTCTGAGCGACAAGCAGTACTGAATTTGATCAGCCGGGACCACTGCTGATATTTTAGAAAACAAATACACTTCAAGGAAGGATGCATTAGATATTTCAAATGCCTTTGACAAGGTGTGATATAAGGGATTACTGCTCAGGATTTCTAGTTATGGAGTCACTGGAAGTGTCTTCTCAGTTATAAAGTCTTTCCTAATGATGATATCCCTGAATGTAATTGTTAATTGCCTGTCCTCCAAGTCCCAGGTGATCAACGCGGCGTCCCCAATGTTTGTGAATATTACATGTATTATCATTGGATACAGATAAGTAAAACACGAGTTTTATCAAAATGATGTTCATTTTAAATAAAGCTGTCCATTTTGACTCCAGTAAATGGATATATAGTTTGGTCAATGGCATAGCCAGGGTCAGCAGTACATATGCTAATTTTATATCTCGTGTATGAAGCGACCCCCTCTTAAAATTAGCTTCAAAATGAGATCTTCAAAAGTAGCACGATACGCGAGTATATACGGTATGTATAAAAAAACATACCTATGAGGAATATTGGTAGTTATTTAAATCCTGTCTAGATTATAGAAATAGATAACATATTCTGTGCCCAAGAAATGGGGGATGAGTTAAAGAATGATGGGGGATGAGTTACTAAAGAACAATAAAAAAACTGATCCCCTATTTTTATCATCTTTTCATTTAATTACCTCTATGGATATTTTGGAATTTCATCTATGAATCAACTATGTCCAAGAAATCAGGGATGTGTTTAATACTAAGGAACAATACAAAACTGATCCCCTACTTTTTACCATCCCTTCCTTTGATTATCGATAAGGATTTCTTTTAGTTATCGTATATACTCACGGTATCATGCGACGTATGAAGACCTAATTTTGAAGGTAATTTGACGACAGAAAATGGATATATAGTTTGGTCAAAGGCGTAGCCAGGGAGAGCAGTACATACGCTAATTTTAGATGTCGTGTATGATGTGACCCTCTTAAAATTAGCTTTAAAATTAGGTTTTCAAACGTCGCAGGATACTTCAATATATATATACGACGTTTTTTGTTCAGAAAATAGATAACATGTGTAATTTTACTTATTCCTGACAGTTACAAGAAACAATATTAACATAAAAAATGCTTCATTCTTAATCACGTTGCTTTATCTTCGTCCTCAGTACAACATGAACGACTACGGCTTCGGAGGTGAGGGCAATTGCAGCAACTATGACGTAAGTCCCTTTTTTATTTTCTTTTAACAACGTTATCCAAAAAATTTAAATTATAAAGGTGTTCGGAATGTAATTATATTGCATCGTTATGAATTACTCGTCAACCAAATCATGGCAGACCCAACGCCGAAATGGTACGAAACAGTGTCTAGAATTAGTTTATCATCTCTTCTTCTGTTCGGAATGTAATAATGTATTTCACTTTTATGAATAAAGCGTCAGTCAGCCACAGCAAGACAAGCGTTGAAATATACGAAACTGCGTCTAGAATTAGTTTCTCATCTATTCTATTAGGCTCTTCGGAATTTAATTATATATTTTACAGTTATGAATTAGTCATCAACCAGCCATGTCAGATCTAACGTTGCAGGCTACGAAACTGCGTCTAGAATTAGTTTATCAACTCTTTTATTTGACTGTTCGGAATGTAATAATATATTTCAACGTTATGAATTAACCAACCAATGTAAAAACAAAGGTTGAGTGGTTGCAGTTAGAACCTGCATGTAGCGTTAGATTATCGCCTTGTTTATTTGCGTGTTTGTATTCTAATTACGTATTTCGTTGCTTTCCTTGTCGATGGCTTAATGTCGGTTAGTGACCAATGTATTTTTCCGACATAAAGAAAACAGACGAAACAATTCGTTGGGAACCGGAAAGTATTTTTATTAATACTGTTCATGCCCATTTTGGACTACAAGCGGGAGTTCTGTCCCTTAGAACGGTGCAATAATAATACAACAATCATCATGAAAGATATACGAAACAACCAATGCAAAAACAAGTCTGAATATGAGGTCTGATTAAAAAAAGTATCGGTACTGTTGGTATGGTAATGAAGCTAAAATGTGCTGAGTAAAGCTGTCTGGCACAAATTGACTTCGAAAGCATACTCACAATAACCCACGTGCAGTGAATTCCCAAATTTGTTGCTGTGTTTAAAAAATAAATAAATATGACGATTATGGTATATTCAACACGTCTCACTCTAAAAAGATGATCCATTCTGAAAGAGACTTTAGAAAAATCTTTCATTTTCTGCAAAGCTCCATAGATTTGGTGCAATAAAGAATAATTTCATTTTCAGTTATCCACAATCTCAAGCAAACAGGGGAAACTTGCAAAGAATAAATTTGGGCTTCGATTTAGAACAGTACGCAGCATTCTGTTATCTGCTGCAGTATTTTAAACAGGATGGCCGGACTTAACTTTTTATTTGGTATCACATTGGTACAGGTGAGAAACAGTGGGTTTTTCGTGATAAACCTGAACGAAATATCGAATTCTTTGAACAGGAGTAGAATATGTCTCACTTTATGGGATTTCTTCTAAAGTCGACTTCAACGATATACTTCTAAAATCTCCACTTAAACTCTACAATTATATTTACTATTTTTTCCTCAATAGTCCGGTTCACACTCCTCCCCGTTTTTTGAAAAGCAGTAGAAGTTTATTCCCTGTTTAGGATTGGGGTTCCCGTTCCTTCTAAAGTCTTCTCATTCTCTTTCACTCCCAGTCGACTAACGCCTCATGCGTCTTAGTGGCATTATTGTTCTGCTTGGTGTGAATTGATCAAAAAAAAAAAAAAGAAAAGAAAAAATGTTTCTTC